CGTTTACTTGTAGCATCATTGTAACCTATGAAAATGACTACTATACTTCTTGTCCCTTTGGCCCATGTGTTAACAGCTGCAGAAAAAGCCTTAAAAAAACAAACAAACAAGCCTAGAGTACTATTTATACGAATGGATGGAAATCTCAAAACAGCTTTCCTGTACATCTAAAAATTAACTGTAAGTATCTGGAGGATTCTTCTCAGTTTGTCTCTCCACCCCCACCCGCCAAAGCATTGTTTCATGTAATTAAAAAAAAAAATCTTGCATGCAGTCATCAACCGTACTGGCCACAAAGTTACACAAGATAGAGCTGTGAGAGTTAATGAACCCGCAAGAAAAGATATGTGGGAGAGGGGCTGGAATTGGCAAGTTCAGAGAAAAGGCAGCTTATATAGCAGCTACTACAACAGCATGTGTTGAAACAGAGAAATGTTTATTTTTCTGCTTTGTAACATACACCCAGGGAGCACATGAAGAGGAGCAATGTGTTTTCTATCAAGTTCTAGCAAGGAGAAAGTGAAATGCCAGCAAAGCAGCATCTTTGCTTTAGAAATGGCAACGGATAAAAAATTACTATAGGAAGTTTTAGTGTAACTGTTCATATTTGCTTCTATTAAAATTACAGGATTCCTGCTTTATTGACTCCTAAATACTATTGACAAAAACTGTATTAGAGTACGACTGTCCAGCTTGGTTGGGACTATACAGCAGTCCCTGGTGAGCAGTCATCCTGGTAAAGGCTGCTGAAAATGTATCTTCAGGCTGGGACAAGGAGGACAGTGCCTGCTTTTAACTGCTGTTATCGCTGTCCTGCTATGTGGTTCTTCCACCTTCCTTTGCTTTCAAGTGACAACTGAAAAAGCTCAACACTGAGTGCTCTGTGCACTACTTATTTTAAGGATTGTAAGTGAACTCAGTGCCTGCAGTTTTTTGGGGGTTTTTGGTGTTTTGTGGTTTGTTATGTTTTTTATAAAAGCTTTTCAACCTCATAGATCCCAAAGAGAAAACTTCTTGTAGCTACCTCTAGAGTGCAGGAGGGGATTAACAGTATTCATCAGCAGTCTGCATGTCCTAAGAAAATATAAACAGGTAAGAAAGTAGTCAGGTAGCACAAGGCAGTTCTTGATTTTACAAAAGCCATGGTCTTATAGTCACAAACCATCATTTTAAAAGATGGCATACCTTAAAGACATTAAAAATTATTATTACAAATTATGAATGGTCCATTGTTCATATTTATGCTACCACTGCAACACAAAACATTGCTGTGCACCTCAAAAACAGACCTTGTCTTAGTTGGCAGACCTAGGTAATATAATTTCCTCTCGCTGCTCAGAGACATACTGTACTCTTTAACACTGCAGGTGGGACATGCTGTGAACGGCATCAGTGCACCTGTACTACTAAAAGCCCATGAAAAAAAGTAGAGCCATGAGTGACAGGGCAGTGGCTTCTTGATGAATGGGCAGCTGTAAGCAGTTGAGGCAGAGAAATAAAAAATAATTTCAAAGTTTGCTCTGTTACCCAAGAAAATGTACAATTAAGTCTAGACTCTTAGAAGACAATGTACTACAAGCTAAGAATCAAGATACCTGCTCAATGAATTACATACTTCTTTGCAACATGAAGTACAAAGGACATTGTAATGCAATACAAAGCAGACTTTCTCATGTAGGTTGTGCAGTACAATCTGCCTGGTAACGGCAAAAATCATAAATGAAGGCTGCTAAAACCTCAAGACTTTTAACCAGATGTGGTTATTTCAATAGTGATTTTGATGATTTCCACTTGCTTTGTTTTGGAAGTGAAAGAAAGTTCACTGTTTACATGTTTCTGGTTTTTCCTTCCATGTGAAGGCTACCTAGCCTTCACATGCTACTTTATTTATATACATTTATTTATATTCATAAATCCAGAAAATCTCATCTATTGATAGGAATCTAAGGCTAAAGGCCTTCAGAAAAGCATCAGATATGAGAAACCCAATAAATCTATGAGCAGTCAATATCAGAGTACACATCAACACCAATGCCTTTTCCCCAGAAGCAAATCGGCTGAACTCTTCAAATCCGTCTTACAGATTTCCAAAAAACTGCCACTCGCAGACTCTCAACTCTCTTTTGCAGCCAGGAAAAGCCTCCACTTCATAGAGAAGCAAAGGCAGCATATCCTGAAAGATGAACAGACTCCCACATCAGTGTAACTTCTTGGTCCTGCTTCCTTCAGGGCTAAAAGGATTTCATCCCTTCTTGTGGAAACATTGGGGATAAGCATTAGAATTCAAGCCTTTCATTATTCCAGAGAAAATCAAAATATCAGGCAAAAAAAACTAGTGCTTTCTTCTGCCCCATTTATACTGTATTGATTGAAGAGAGGCCAATGAACTGCATCTGCCTTTCAGCTCTGGCAAGATGATCAAATCCTTCAAGCAAACCTTCCTGTCCCTGGATCTGCAGTCCCCTCGGTGGAGCTCAACAGAGACAATGGTAACTGCTAAAGCCCAGGGGAACAGAGACCTCTAGTCAGAGTACGGCAAGGCTAAGGTGGATTTGGGATTGTCTGATGGCCATAGGGGACCTGGGAAAATTAGACACTGTTCAAACCTAATTACAAATAGGGAGAGGTACACCTATTTGTAAGCTCTGAGAAGCTCAGCCTAAGGCAAAGAATGGTTTTGCAATAGAAGCATCAGTTTGACACTAGGGGTACACCTAGAGACTGCAGCAAAGAGGTTGCTCAGTGTTCTCATTAAATAGTATTTTTATGCTGATTTGGAAAAAGTAGCTATTATGTCATGTTCAATACTCATCTCATGGTTACTGTGACTTTTACTACCTTTCAGGCAAAGGATTATGAACTGCGTCAGTACGAGACAGCAAAGTGGGTCAGCACAGTCATTAGGGGAGAAACCCAGAAGGAGGCAATGCGTCAGGGCTTCTGGAAACTCTTCCACTACATCCAAGGGAAGAATGAGAAAGGTACTATCTACTGGTTTTGAAATGAGAGAAACACAAAGGGGAGATGAAGCTGCATAGCATAAAACAGTAGATGAGCTGTGAGACACAGCAGGTTCCCCTTCCTGGTCTAACTCATGACTCCATTGGGCCATTATACCCGTCAGACTGCTTTAGTATCTACTTTTAGGATAAGCCTGCATCACCCTTTAAAACAGTCGCATTCAGGCACCTCCCTTGCTTGCAACTTAAAACTTTTCATCCTCTCCACTAGAAATGAAGATTGACATGACTGTGCCTGTGACATGCCTGATAAAATCTGGCTGTGCAGACTTCAAGGTCTCTTTCTTTGTTCCATTTGAACACCAGGACTCCCCACCACAGCCCACTGACTCCGATGTTTTTGTTGAAGAGAGGAAGGCAGCAGCCATCTTTGTCCGGTAAGCAGCACCAGCACAGCTCATAAATGAAGGCAGCTACAGAAAGGGGCTCATTAAGAATCTAGACTACTCTAACCATGCATATACTCCTGCTGTTGAAAGCCTTGAACAGGAGAATCTGAGCATTTGGAAACCTTTCTTAAGCTTGGGTGTCCCAAGAACAAAGAAATTACTAAGCTTCAAAACATCCATTTCTCAATACTTACCCATACTGCACTGAATGGGTTTTATAGAAATGCAGCCTACAGAATCCTCTTGGACATATTCTGAGCTACAGGACAACTAAATCACTCTTCCAGACCTTTTTACCTGTAGTTCCAGACCCCCACAAAACCTGCCCAGCAGTTCATTACAGAAAATGCAAGTTACACTTGCTCTCCCTCCATGTAGTAAAGCCACAGGCAACAGCCTTTGTCAGCGAATACTCTCTGAAGTGCAACCAACTTATTTTGGGACATTTATTCTTAATTCTAGAGCTTTTAAAACAGCATACACCACCATATGCTCCCTGACAGCTAGCTCCACATAGTTTACCTAATAACTACAAACTGCATCAGAAGTGCTCAAACACTGCATGCAGTTTCCATCTGTGAAAATAAAAAGCAGGGACTTCAACTCCTAACAAACTCTCTCCCTTTCACTCTAACCAGGTCCTTTGGTGGATTTGCCTCCCCAGAAAAATATGCTGAGGAAGCTGAAGTCTTGGCCAGAATCTTAAAAAACAGAGGCCAACCATTCCACGAAGACTTCTTCTATACTGCGGGCTATGACAGCCCCTTCAAGCTCTTTAACAGGCATAATGAAGTGTGGTATTTTAAAAAGTAATCCAAGGGGTGGGGGGGAGAAATCAAGAGGCTACTAATAATCTCTGGATGTAAAAAAACCACCTTATTAATGGCTTTTGCTTTAGTGCAGAAGAGATTTAATTTCCACCTGAACACAAGATCATGCCTAATTGTTTGTAGGATGAAATACTATTCTTGCTAAAGATACCAGCTTTCTACAAGATGCCACTTGAATTGAGGTAGATTGTAGGGAGTGGGAGATACGACAAACCTGTTCTTATTGAAAGTTTCTAGGGAACACCAGTAATCTGAAAGTATTCCTGCAGAACAGCTCGGATGTTTAGTTCTACTTCTCATTAGAAGTACTATAGCATTAGCTCACATTACAGAGAATGAGCTCTTCATAGAGCTGACTTTTCTCATATTGGTATCGCTCCGGACACAGCAGAAATATGGGGGAAGTTAAATGAATTTTTTTCGGAGAAAAACCTCCTATTAATGAGCTCTGGGAAGCAGCAATACCTTAGCAGGCCTCAGGGCCTCACAAGCAGTGACTCTAAAATTTTTTCAGAACAAATACACAGTGTTTACTTATCACAAAACATACTAATTACTACTTCGATTTAGCTTCGTCCAAATCTTCATTTGGTCATGGCAACTGCAGTCTACACACTAGCAGTATCTGACACTTATGACCCTTGCAGGACTAGCATTCAAAGTAGTTTAGACCCTGCTGTAAAGCATTTGAAGCTTTTATAAGGTAGCCAAGAGGTGTTTTACAGGAAGCTGTTCATCAGAAAACAGTTCACAACAATGGGTAGAGTTTACAGGTTTTTATTGGTACCAATCAGTATCAGTAAAACATAACTGGTGTGGTAAAAGAACTCTTGGGCTTTTTTAGTGCTGTTCATGCAAGTGTAATGCATTATTCTGCAGTCTCCCACCTATTAAGACAGACAGAAGAACCATTATAAGAAATCAGAGCAGCACAATAAACTTGCTTGGAACAATTCAGACCTTAGATTTTCATCTCTATTCAGTGAGAGAGTTCAAGCTAAGGTTATCATCATTCATTCCAGCAAATAAATTTCATCAGTACTAGGTATACTCACCTTCAGTTCTTCATAGAGTAATTTCAAAGTTGCCTTCTCACCTAGAGTAAGAAACCACAGTTAAATCTTGCAGTAGCACAACCCTAAAAACCTCCACGGCAACTTTGTAACCTCAGAGAAAAGTGGAACGGAAAGTGTAATATCAAGGTAATTCATTTGGCAGAATCAAATTTCATCAATGGCTACAAATAACCCCATAATTTTCTTAACAGAATTAATCCGCTGTGTGGTCTTACCCAATGAGGCTGCAGACGGCACAGTCCTTTCCTGAGAAAGAAACAAGTTGTTTCAGAATAACAGACATCACTATATAAAAGGTTGACTATCTATGAAGTTCTACTCTAACTTTACTTAGGAGTAAGTGTCAGGTGCACTTCAGGTGGCAACTGACAAGAAATTCAATTTGTAACACCCAAATAGGATATACAAAGCTTACAAATCCTAACTGAAAATACAGAATTATTATTGTAAGAACTGGGGGAAAGTACAAAGCTACCTGCTTGTGATACTCTCTCCCCATAGTTACATTCACTGAGTTTTGATATTTAAAATAAAAGTCTCATAGAAATTACCTTGAAAACCTATCCTTAAAATTTACAGCCAGTCTGTTGGAGGAAGCACATTTGCACAGCAATTACCTAGAACTTGATTCTATTTGCATAGTGCCAACATTAGCTGACAACCACAGCATATAGGTTGGATGTTTTTTTGTTGTTTTTTTTAAGAGTGCAGCCACATAAATATGAATTTTTAAGAGTTATTTTTTGCTACTCTGCATTCTGCTGCACTACACTATCAACACTTCACTGGCTAAGTAGTCTACACTGATTCAGGTCCTTTACTATTTCCAATGTGTAGACATCCAATAATAAACTCCCAGTTTTTAGTCATTGAAGCCACACCTTTTCCTGTTAAGAACTACAAAAAGTTTACTATTGACTACAGCTCAGAAATTGTCTTATCTGCCCAGAAAGACCCTTTCGCTTTTAAGTCCAACTCAGACCTACACAGAAGTGCATTCTTGCTTCAAGCACATCACATTTATTCCCAGAGTAGCTGAGATAATCAGAATACAACAGGAAGACAAATCCGATCTATTATAGGAGTAATGAATAATTTTAGGCACCACAATCTAGGCACCTAGCAGAAAACCAGCATTACTGTAATTATCAAACCCAACCTACTTGACACTTACCTCAGACATGAGTTAGTCTTGTTTCTCACACAAACTCATGAGCTTCACCCTGTAACAAGTGAAATTCTATTAACACATTCTCCTTGGAAGTGCCTCAAGAATTAGTTTGAATATGAGTACTGTTTCAGCACAAGAGTCCTCCTCAGCCTCTTTCAGAGAGATTCCCATTGATTAGAATTAATCATCACAAACAGTACATGCTTTGAGAAGCTTCGTATTTTGTTACTTTTGTTTCTCCTTTGAGGTGGACCAGACCTCAGCATTTCAGACCTTACTCCCAACTACATCTTTATTCACATCACTACTCCCTGCAAAAGCCCACCAAATTTAACCAGCAAAGTTAAACCAGCAAATAATTGTACTAGTTTTGGTCAGCACAGGCTCTGCACTGCCAGGTTATCACACATTCTTATTCCTAGTAACCCTAGCCCATAGCAGTTACATATTTCAATGGGGTCCATGCTATTTCTTCTCTCTGCTGCAAAAAGCAGTAAAGATTTTCAAAGAGTAGAAAAAAGGTTTCTCTTTTTTCTTGGGGCAACTGAGAAGCCGCTTACCAAGTACGAATCATCTGTCATAAAGCATCCAACAGTTTTCCCATTCTCAAATCTAGGATAAACCATTAGGAAAATGAAATGTCAGTCCAATATTTATGTTACTCCAGAGCCTCCTTAAGACTTCCAGAAACTACGTCTATTACTGCTGGAATTATAACTATCTTAGTACTGTCTCTATTCAAAGTATGAGATTCAGTCCCTAGCACCTTGGGCAAGTGAACCTGCAGGCTGCTGGTTATCTGTGATCTACTGGTAGAGGCAAATCCTCAAGGAACCTTCTAAATGCTTCAGCTACACTGCAATTAGAGGCCAGCATTTAGCAGTAACTTCCCGATCACTTATCACACAGTTCTGACCAGTCACATGCATTTGCTGGCAACTTACTTTTGCTGGTAGACTACAACAGCACTACTTCACAGTTTTATCACAGCAGCCCTGGAACAAAGCAAAGCATTAGGACCAAGAACAAGCAAGCACATGAGAATCAAATCTAACCAGATGCCTGAAGTCAGATAGAGCTAATTGCAGACCTCCATGACTGAAGTCAAGGTACTCGCATCTCATCACACAGGCAGCTCACAAATTCCTAGACAGCCATCTGCTACTGCTTTAAAGCTAACACTGCAGTGTGGAAGGCAAATACACCAACAGTGCCATGTGAGCCACTTTGAGCTCACTGGCAGTGAGAGTTCAGGTACAAACAAACCTGTCAAGGCTGCACCTTACCCAGCAGCTCTCCCCTTAAGCATCCTCCTGTTTTGGCCGAGATGGAAACAGCAGCCAACACTGGCCCCTTGTCCTGCACACATCACCCCCACCAAGCTTATATGCAATTGCAAACTTTGTTCTAGAGGTTTTTTTTTATGCTAATAGTCACAAAGTTAAAACAAGTACTTACACTGCAATGACAAACTCTGGAAGCCTGCAAAAGAAAATCTGCTACTAGATAAGGTCCAGCAGAAAGCTTTCACATGAGAACCGTTCCAATGAAATACTGTATCAGTGTTTAGTCACATTTTATCCTCATAGGGATCAGAGACCTGATTCAACATCATCTACAGTACACCACAACACTTCCACCCCCTTCCACAAAAGCAGTAATAAAGCTATCTCCCAGCACTCTCAATTCCAGAGACTGCTGAAATTGCAGACAGGAGCACCAGATCTCAGTGGCATGAGCTGTGTAAACATCTACATCCAGAAAAAAATTTCAAACACTCAATACACAGCATCCACCAGTTAGCCTCATTGGGCCCATTTTAAAACAATTACTTAATGCTTTTTTTTTTTGTGAAGCATAGGGGATCTGAAGGCACACTTAGGGTACTATTTGCTTCAGATTTTCCAGAAACAGAATGGGATTTCCAGACTCTCTTATCTCTAAAAGCAAACTCCCAAGTTCAAATGCAGCACAGCCAAATGCAGTATCCATCCAAAAGAAAAAAAAACATGGTTTTCAATTACCTTTAATTAGAAAGGCCTTGTCTTCACAAGCATTAGTAACAGGTGAAATATTCTCACACTGGAGGCACAGGTATCCTCCATCAAGGGCAGCCTGCAAAGCAACAAAATACTTGCAGAAGTTGCAACACTAACAGCAACCAGATCAACCGAGACTGTGTTACTGAAGCTGCAGATTTATTCTGCTGTATTTGTATTTAATTCCACAAGCATAGCCTACCCTTTATCCTTCTAAATTTTTTTAGCTTCTAAAACAAATTTTCAAAACGCATCCGTGGAGCAAAAATGTGTTTCACCCTCAGCTATCCTCATGAACTGTCTAACAGCTTAAGGTGCAGAAGGCTGCATCAGCTAGGAGCGAAAGACAGTAACTGCATGATCACCATGAGTCATCTGCTGAACTATGCTGTCATCACACACAGCCTTCCACACATCTGCGATATAAATGAGCTTTCACATACATTACAAATACATTATTTACCTTGCACAGTTTATAGCTTTATTTCCCAGTACCTGCAACGAAAGAAAAAAACCCATCAGATTCCCTCAGGCTTCATAGCCAAGCCCACGCCCCCTAAGCAAAAGATCACAACAGACACTTCAGATAGGAGCGAAAGACAAAACTGTTCGTCACAGAATATTCTGCTGAACTATGCCATCATCACTGTATCTGCTTTGGAATAACAAACCAAACAATCAGTTCTTGTGACAGCTTTGAATAAATAAGCCACATAAACATTCAAGAGTTTGACTATTAGCAATTGTCAACCATTTCTGTGTATTAGTGGAAATTAACCTGAAATATTTCCCCCATTTTACATTCCACCCTCTCCACAGCTCCATGGAAGGAACCCCTATGTAGACTACACATTTCTCACCAGATGATGTTTCTTCTGCAAGTCTTCTAAGTATATGACTCAAATACTGGAAGAAAAAAAAAGCTTATCAATAGAACGTTCTTAAGACAAAACATCAAGGGGAACGTTAAGTTGCTGTGCCTCAGAGGAAAAGTTATGGTGGTAAGAGTGCTCATCATTCTCTTGGTCAAGAGTAGCAAATAAGTGTCATCATTGTGGCACTGGAGGGAAAACTGAGAAAAGTCTGCCTATTAATGTTATTAGAACAAAAGATACTGTCTAGATAAACAATCACAATTTCAGGCTGAATTTTTAATTTTTTTTTCTTACCTTTTGTAGTAGCATCAAGTTTCTTTATTCCACAGCAGATCTGAAAAACACAGAAGTTTCAGACACCTGTAGAACTAAGGGAGACTATCTCTGGCAGTGACATCAAGCAGAGAAAAAAGCCTCAGCACAGAGTTTTCAGAAATCATTTCTGTCCACTACTCTTGTATTGAAACCATCATAGGCTCTGATTTAGTTAACATTAATTCTGACAGTCACACGTTTCTGAAACATGCATCAGGCAGTTTTCCTTAAACAGCAAGCTACTTATTGCTGTAAATAGTAATAATGAAGAAAAAAAGCACCTAGGTCCTACTGTAGTTTGGGTACAGAATAATTACTGCTTCAGAAACAGCGGCCTAACAGCCACTTTCCAGTACAAAGAACGAGGTGATTCTTCCCAGTAGAACAGTAAGGACTGCCTGAAGAAATACCACAGGCAATTACTGTATTACAAACACCACTCCTGTAGTTCCCTGACATATAAGAGTACTCCAGGCTAAGTTGCTGTAAGTGTACCTAACCATTTCTCAATTTAAAACTTAATTTTAGACACAACACTTACCTGTTTCAAAGCTGTAAGAGGAAGATGGTGTAAGTAGTTGGTGCATCTTGAACTGAAAACAAGAAAGCATCCATTAGTTCCACTAAGAACCAATATACTCTAGAACTTTACTTGAGTAAAGCTCTTCCTAGTTCAATCTACATTTCAGCTCTTCAAAGAGACAAGGCCACAAAAATAATTACCAGACAGTGTTTTTAAGGACAGAATCACTAAATTTTTGTCGTTTTCTACAGCTGCAATTTCAAAGTATAATCACCCAGCCAGTCCCACAGCCATGAACTTGGGCTGCTCAGAAAGGACCACATTCTGTTTCAGCCCTATCAGGTATTTCACCGCACACTATTCCATGCCCAGCTCAGATATGTTGGCATTCATCACCCTCTCAGATGTCCCTACCAACACAGTTTTCATCACGTGCAGGCACATGGAAATCCAAGTAAGCTATTATACCACTTTTTTAACATGGGGCCTTTAATTCTAAAGCTAAGGAACATTTCTTCTCTGTAACAGGCACATCTCGCCATCATCTAGGTGCATTCCCTAGCGAAAAAGGTTCCCAAGAGAGAACACAACGCGAATGAGGCACCCTGAGCTGTTACCTCATGAAATCCGAGCGCAGGCCCCAGGCTCAGCTTCTCCGCAGCGCTCACATCCAAGCACCACCCAAACTCCCACACCGCCGCGGAACGATGGGCCTCAAGCCTGAAGCGCGGCGGGACAGGGCTGGCCGCCCCTTCCCCCGGCCCATATAGAGGCTCCATGGGACCGCGTCCCCCATATTACTGCTACCGAGTGCCGCCGCTTACATGCTCACCCCTTTCCTAGGGCCGCCACGAGGCGGAGTCCCGCCAGAGCGTCCCCGCGGCCTAGGCCGCGGACCAGGCCCAGACTACCCAATCCACCGCCATCCTTCCCCGCTGGCGCCTATAGGGGATCAGGGCCCACACACAGGGCTTCCACACGGCCCACCGGAGCGGCGCGGGCCTACGCCAGGCGGAAAACAAACCCCACTCACCGGCACCACCGAGTAGCACCGCCCACGAGCCTCCGCTGCAGGCCGAAAAGACAGAGCTCTGCCTGCGCGCCCTTTATATACTAGCGGCGCCGGTCACGTGTGCACGGACCGGGGGGCGGTGCGCGGCCATCCCCCTCACGTAAGGAGGCGTGGCTGCGCGGGGCGTGGCGCGAGGCCGTGGCGCGGCGGCGGGCGGGGAGCGATGCGCGCCGCGGCCTCACGGGCGGGAATTTTCTTCCGGGGTGCGGCCCGCTCGGGGGGTTTCGCTTCCGGGACGGTGCTGCGGGCCCTTCCCACCCCCGCCAGGTAGGAACCGGCGCGGCGCGGACCCGGCGGGCCGGGCAGGGCCGGGCGGGGTGGGGCGGGCGGGGCGGGGTGGGGCGGGGCGAGGGCCGAGCCCGCCCTGCCCGTGTGGCGCCGTCACGCCCGCGGGGGCCGGCGCAGGGGGCCGGGGAGCACGGCCGCGCCCCGCCACCGCCTCTCCTTCCCTTGGAGTCGCCGGTCCCCCGCCGGCGGGGTTCTTCTCTCCCCAGAGACCCCGCGACCCTCCCCGGGCTCTTTCCGTCCCCGCGGCCGGTGCTCTCCCCAGCGGGAGGAGAGCGGTGCGTTGTCAGCCCCACTGGCGGAGCGGCGTGGGGAAGGTGCGACCAGCGGGATGAGGGGAGGGCGGGTTTCGGTTGTGCCTCTCCACGCACCCCAGGGTTCGGGCGTTCGGGCACCTCCCGGCAGCTGTCAGGGCTAAAAATGAACCGTAATCGCCTCGGGAGCAGGGGCCTGGAGTCATCACTTGTGAGAGATTCAGAGGGGGAAACCCGAACACTGTTAAATTTGCTCTTTTAGCTCAGGCGGGGAAGGATGAAAAAGGCAGCATCTCTCATCTCAATATAGAACTGCTATTGTTTTCATCTTTACTAAGGTCGTATCGTAATTTGAAATTGGTCCAGTTGATCAGTTGTGATAAATCTCAGTCCCAAAAGCTGAGACTTTTCCATTCCACCTCCTCCTCTGTGCAGCTCCCCAGCTTGACAGTTTTCTGACAAAGAATATATTCAGAGTGAGCATCATCTGCTGCAGCTGGTCTGTCCCAGCTTTTCACAAGGGCCTGATGGGTGGAATTTTACTCCTGGTCTCGGTAGTTGCACTTGCTTCACAGGGTGAAAGGCATTTTCTGATAAAAGTCAAAGCCTCAGCTGGTGACACTTTAAATTGTATTAAAAATAGGTAAGTGTCTCAGTACGTTCTCTGTGAAGAGCACTGCTCAGCAGGAGATCCCACTCATCCTGCAGGCAAAGGCTGAGATGATGAACTTGCAGTCCAGCACCAGGAAAGACAAAACTTGAGATGTCATTGCGCTGCTGGCTGAGGTGCATAAGCTTACGACTGACCCTGTACCCGGGAGGACAGAAACCATCTGCTGACAAAGCTGACCTGAGCAAAAAAGCTAGATTCCCCTTCACCAGCCTATGACTGAGGTTGCCTACAAAGCGTATCATAAAATGTCACTTTCTTGATACTGAGGTGACTGAAGCTAGGTGGGTCCTTCTCTCCTGCCATCATCAGTGGATGGATTTTTTTTCCCTGCCTTTGGAGCAGAAGCTCACAAATACTTTTTCAGGCTCCCCTGGGAGCAGCTGACTTCTGACCGGGGCCGTACACAGCCACACTCAGCAGTTAAAATCTGATTATTATTTTTTTCCCTTCTCTTTCTGTATGTCCTGAGCTGAACCCCTGAGAAACGAATGGTCAGCCTCTGCTTCCCTCTGCCTCCTGCCTCGCCTCTGCTGGCAAGCCTTCCTGCGTGCTCACTGCCTCAGCGGGGTGTTTCACTTCGCCGGGGATGCCCACGTGCCTTTCCTTTGCCTGCTTTCCTTAAGAGAACGCTTTGGAGTTCACTGCTTTAGAAACTGGTGGTTTGAGAAGATTATGAGATTACAGGCTCCCCAGTCCTGTAAACATTTACACATGCTCGATGTGATTTTGGCTGTGTGAGTGTTCCTAATGGTGTAAATGAGACGGCTCATTTGAGGAAAACACTGAGTTGTGTAAATGCCGCGGGGTTAATGCCAGAGATACCAGCCCCTTAAGAGAGAAAATGACTTATTCAGGTTATTTGCACCCCCATTTTTCGTTTTAATGACTGTCTGTACAACACTGAGCAGACAGTGGGGAAAGATCAATTTGATAAGACTCAGTGTGTCTCTGTGGTTTGGGGTGGGACGTTGTGTAAACGGTTAGCTAGTCCTGCTGCTGTGTTCTCCAGCAAAACAAAGTATGACGAAGCTTGATGTCCTCGATTGTGCTTGAGAGAGCCCTGTTCCTCTGTGTTACGTATTTTCTTCCTTTTCTTTTTTCCTTCTAAAGGGGAAGGGGGCAAAAAAATTTCAGACCTTCTTACTACATCAGAAGAAAAAAGGAAGATAACAAGATAGCACCCCCATTTCCTCCCCTCTGCATGTTCCTCGTAACGTTACTGGTAAGACATCAGATTTTCTGTTTCACCTTGTTTTGTACATTTGAAGTTCTGCTCTTAATGTTGTTTTGGCATGGACTTTTTGTGGCTTTCATTGCTTCCTTCTAAAGATTGGGAAAGGTGAGAAGAAGCCTTGAGACATGGCACTGTTAAGCTGCACCTTGTGAAGTTTTGTGCACCACTGATCTCACCTGCCCCAGAGACACAGAGCCGTCCGGCCATTTAGTAGTCTGTTTGCATGACTTCACAAGATTGACAGGCTGTCCTGCAGCTTCAGGTTTAGTAACATACTTTGCTAAGTTTGCACAAAGTCTGCTTGGGCATGTGAACATGCACTATCCTGCAGCATTCATAAATTAAAAACCAAAAACATCCTCCAAAGGCACACATGCTTTCCTGTCTGCTAGTCCTGGGATTCTGAGATTTCTCATACCAGGCACTATGAGCCTCGGTATTCCCAGCCTGCCTGGAATTATTTTGATATCTGCAGCACTCTGCTTAATGGACACTTGAGATTCCATCCAGGCTGGAAGCTGTTCATGCCGTGAGTGGTCTTTAATAAATTTTATTTCCTTTTTTTTTTCTTTTCTTTTTAGGCGAGTTTACATCTAATTTTGGATCATTCTGAATTTTTACCATATATAGTCAGGGCTCCTTTTCAGACTTTGCCAAAATGAAATGTGATGATTATAGAAAAATGCATTATGGAAGGGGAAGTAGGAGAGCTAGTTTGTTAATACCCATTGTTTGTAAATTGTCTTTTACTGTGTGCAATATCTCAGTCTACACAAACACTAGCTTCTTTTGCCAGCGAGTTACTTGTGCCCAGTGGATGGTCTGATAAGTTGGTGCTTACAACTGGGTGCTGGTGTTTTTTTTTTCACTGTCCTGTTATATTTTTCTGCCTGTGGCAGAGACGGGACATATGATGAGTATCCTGGGTTTAATGATGTACTTAAGATGCCTTGAAGTCAAATACGTGCTGGTCAGCTTTTGAAAAATCTCAGGAGGATTTAGGTCCTGGTGTCTCCTTCCTGATTCTTACTCTACAAAGGAGGGATAACAATGTTACTTTCCTTTTTCAAAGTACTTAGAAGGTGCTAAGTATTTTAATCCATTATGCAATCAGTTGCCTATTTTTAGTATGTGAACCATTTTTAATGTTCTTTTTGCAATGCAAATGTGCTTTCACTGCGGCTGACAGAATAAACTCTTTCGAGCACTTACACCACAGGGAATGGAGATCTGTAGGGGACTGGTTTAACATAACTCTTGTGAAAGGTGTTGTACAGCACATAAAGATCAGAGAACTGCTGCAAGGCGCTTGTAAATTAAATGGTGAGAAAGTTCTTTAAAAATTCCAATATTCCAAACTGCATGAAAGAATGTGAAAAATGTTTTAAATGCAAATGATAGACTAGTTCTATTAACAATGGTATTTCCCCCGCCCTTTCCAGTAGGGTTGTTCTCCTGCAACTGGGACAGCCATGGAGAAGAGTGGGAACATTCAGCTGGAGATTCCTGACTTCAGTAACTCTGTCCTGAGCCACCTGAATCAGTTACGCATGCAGGGTCGCCTGTGTGACATTGTGGTCAATGTGCAGGGGCAAGCTTTCCGTGCTCACAAGGTGGTACTGGCTGCCAGTTCGCCCTACTTCCGTGACCACATGTCCTTGAACGAAATGAGCACCGTTTCCATTTCTGTCATCAAGAACCCTTCTGTTTTTGAGCAGCTCCTTTCCTTTTGTTACACCGGTAGGATATGTCTGCAGCTGGCCGACATCATCAGTTATCTAACGGCCGCCAGTTTCTTGCAGATGCAGCACATCATAGACAAATGCACACAGATACTTGAGGGAATTCATTTCAAAATCAACGTGGCAGAGGTGGAAGTGGAATTGAGCCAGACCAGGACAAAGCATCAGGAGAGACCACCGGAGTCTCACCGGGTGACACCAAATCTCAACCGTTCTCTGAGCCCACGTCACAACACCCCAAAGGGGAGTCGTCTGGGCCAGGTTAGCACCGTGCTGGACATTCGGGAGCTCAGCCCACCTGAGGAGTCCACCAGCCCCCAGATAATTGAACAGAGTTCGGATGTGGAAGGCAGGGAGCCCATACTACGAATTAACAGAGCAGGACAGTGGTACGTTGAGACGGGAATGGGAGACCGCGGTGGACGGAGCGACGACGACGTCCGGGTGCTGGGAGGAGTGCGCATTAAAACCGAGAACCTGGAGGAGTGGCTTGGGGCAGAGCATCAGCCATCGGGAGAAGATGGGAGCAG